AGGCACTGCCAGGACAGAGCCACAGCTCCAGCAGGTCCAGCCCTGCTGGGGGAGGCTCTTTGCAGTGCCCTGATCCCCTGGCCAGGCAGGGGCTGAGGCTGCTCCTCTGCCCCACCTTGGGCACTCCAGATGGCACAGGGGGAGCAATGGGGGGAGAGCAGGGCACAGCTGGGCTCCCTGTGCCCACAGAGAGCAGATGAGCCTCAGGCTGCAGAGGAAAGCCCAGCAGTTCTGTGGGCACCTCCTCAGGACCCTGCAAGGCCATGTTTGGGGTGGCTGCAATGTGGCAAGCCCAAGTTAAAAGCCAGTGCCTGCACTGACCTGCCCCATGAGTTTTGTTTCTTTTCTCAGCCCACAGACAGCTCATCACACAGCTGTGGCAGCTGGCAAGGACTGAGTCACCCCTTGGTCACTCTCTGGGCTATGCTGGCCCTTAGCTGAAAATTACTCATTCCCAATGCAGTATCAGGAGCTTCCCAGCAGCACAGGAGCACAGCTTTGATCCTGTGAGCAGGACAGACAGTGACCACAATGAGCACTTATGATCCATTGATGACTTATGAGAAACAATCTGTATCTAAAACAGAGCAACCACATGATAAAAACCATTAAAAACAATCAGAAATAGCTGTTGCATGGCCCCTGAAACCAGGACATGAACCTTTTATGTAAACAGTCTTGTTTTCCATAGGAAGGTGGAAGCTGTGGCTGGATGCAGTCCAGGATGGCTGTGGACAGCTCTGACTTCTCCCTCACCAATCTGAGAGGCAGCATTGCTCCACTGGGTGAAAGGTTTGCATGTTATTTTCCACTGCTGGGTGAGGAATCCCCAGGGCACGTGGTGAGGCTGTTTGCAATCACAACAAGTGGCTGCACGCTGCCTTGGTGGGCTGAATCATCCTCCCAGAGTGACTTGTCCCCATCTATTCCCACTGGCACAGTGGCACAATCCATGAGCAGTGCCCAGGGCACTGTGGGCATGGGACAGGGCAGGAGGGTGCCCCAGAGCCCACCATGGGAGCTGCTGTTGAGGAAGGCCTTGCCATGCCCTGAGCTGTGCCACTTTAATAACACAGAGCTACAGAAACTCATCCCCCAGGACAGGGATAAGATCCCAGCTCACCTTGTTGCAAACAGCAGCTCTGGGTGAGAGCACAGGGGTACAAACCCCTCTGTGCACACCTGGAGCAGCTCTGGGTGAGAGCACAGGGGTACAAACCCCTCTGTGCACACCTGGAGCAGCTCTGGGTGAGAGCACAGGGGTACAAACCCCTCTGTGCACACCTGGAGCAGCTCTGGGTGAGAGCACAGGGGCACAAACCCCTCTGTGCACACCTGGAGCAGCCACCCTGCCACTCGTCAGGGCCTTCATTGCACAACCTGGGACAAACACAACAACAACGTTCCTGCTGTTTGAAACATTATAAAGCAGGTCTTGCTCACCTAATAACAGCTTTTTAAAATGCTTTATTAACTCTACTCAAATTAATGCATGTCTTATGTGCATTTTAATTACATCTTTAACTGCTAACAATATGGGTGCACTTATTGGCACAAAACCTTATTTGGTGGCTGCAGTATCTTTATAGAGGATTAACTTCAAAGCCTCATCTTGTCATGCATGAAAGCCTGTATTTCAGATTACCTCCTGCTCTCTTACAGCTCAGCTAAGCAGTCTCCTTCAAGAGAGAGGCATTTTTCCTTGGACTGCCTTGTAGTGGGCAGGCTGTCATGCTTCAAACCACTAACTGAACAATACTGACTGATTAAATTGAAAAAGAAAACCCTATCAGAGTTCTGGACCAGCAAAGGAATTGTGCCTTGACAGTAATTAATTAGGTAGAACACTTAGCTTCCAGAATTAGAAATAAAAATTGAGTACCAAAGATTTGATTCAAACATTCCACATATCTTACACACCAAATGCTTTTCCCCTGCATTGCACTGAAATGCCCGAGGGTCACAGCAGGACAATATTGCCATTGTATTGGCACTGAAAGCACTTCCCAAATGCCCATTTATGGCCTGCAGCACAACCATGGACTTTAGCAATCCAGAATGGCTCAAGTGCTTTGCTACTTATTAACCTGAAAGTCCAGAAGGCTGTGATAAAACACTCTGCCTGATGCTTGTGATGAGGTCACCAGGAGCCCAAAGGCCATTTCATTTGCCCACTTTTATGGTGGTGGCATCTTTGGGGCTGGACCTCCCCCAGTCATAGCAGATGTTGTCAGAGCAGCAATTTGTGTAAAAATGGTAAAAATTAAGGAATGTGCACCACTTTAAAGCCTGCTACATGGAAAGGGAGGCGCCTTGTCCAGAAAACGGAGCTGTGGTGGCTCCTGGGGAGCAGCAGCCTGGGGGTGTTGGTCCCCACACTGCCCCTCACACCCAACACCCTCTGCCCATGCTGGCCCTGTTCCCTGTTCCAATCCCCTCTTTGGGGAACAGGATAATGGGTGTCAGATGGGGCAGCAGGGACACCCCGACAGGCTGGGGCTCAGGCAGACCCGGCCACTCTCTGCACCCTTGGTTGAAAGGGCACAGCAGCACCGGTGTCCCCAGCAGTGCCCAGCCCTGAGCAGCACTCAGACACCACCACCACGTCCCTACAGAGGATAAATGAAGCTGCAGCCAAGCCCCAGCCCCTCAAGGAGCACTCCATGAGTCCCTGCTGCCCTCCCAGCCCCAGCAGGCTTCCTCTGCAGAGCACAAGGGGATGTGGGCTGGCCCCGCAGTGTCTCCCTCCAGCCCTCCCAGGCAGGCACAGGAAACCTCAGAGATCCTCTCAGCCCATCTCTGCCAACAAAAACAGCTCTGTGGGTTCCCTAGAGGCTGCCAAAAGGAAGCAGCTGTGCCTGAAGGGAGAGAAGGAACTCCCTCATGGCTGCAGGACCCTCACACCCCTGTCCCGTGGGGACCCTAAGCAAACACGTGATACAGGGACACATCTGACCCATCCACCCCACAGCACCTCCTGGGCAGTGGGAGGGTGATGGAGGGGCTGAGCTGCTGCTCCAGGGGGTGACACACCAGGCACAGCCCCATGAACCCGGGACAGGCTCCACCAAAGGGCCCTGGCAGCTCCTGCCCAAACTGGCTCCTGCCTTGCCCTCAGCCTGCTGAGCTCCCCCAGCCCCCTGGGAGCAGGCAGAGCCTGAGGAGGGGCTTTATTGGTGAATGTTCCACAGGTGCTGCTCATCTGGAGAGGGTTCCTCACCTGCCATCATCCCAAGTGGGGACAGGAAGCCCAGACTGTGCTGGTTTCAGCAGCAGCTTCTTGTGCAAGGGCAGGGCAGCCCTGAACTGTCAGTGTTCATGCACCCACATCAGGCGTGTTTTGTGATCTGATAAGGCTGATCAGAAGGCGCAGTAAACAGGGGGTAAAGTGCTGCAGAAAGCAACATGAGCTCCCTGTGTCACCCCCCACAGGTGACTGGCTGCTGTTTGTCCCCCTGATAATGCCTGGGGTGGAGGAGAGAGGTAACTGATATGCCAGGAGCCCTGAAGATAAACACAGCACTGACAGCCATGGTTCAGGGTCAAAGCCTTCATGGGCACCACAAAACCACTTGCTCTGTGATGCCAGGGTAGTCAAAACAGGCGTGATTTTGGGGAGAGCTCTGGGTTTGGATGACTCTGACCCTGAGGCTGCAGCTGCTGTCGCAAGCATTTGGCTCAGGCTGAGCTTTCAGCAAGGTTAACCTGGAGATTTACACCCCTCCAAGGCTGACACTTTCCCTCCCCTCCCTCTCTATTAGTTTATTCCAGAGCCTGTCCTGCCTGGGGACAGCTCACTGGAGACCCAGAGCAGAGGCGGCACCACCTAATCCCTGTTGTTTTGGAGGATGGCTTGCCCACTGCCCAGCTTGGTTGGCAAACACTGCAGTGAAGTGGTGACACTTCCCTTGCTGGCAGCCAGTGCTCCAAATTCCAGTAATGCCAAAAGGGATTGGTGGTGCCCATTCCAACATCTGCAGCACATTCCCTGGAGAACTGGCCTCCCTGCAGGCCTGGATCCCACTGCTTCCAGCTGTGGGATGTCCCTGGGAGCCCAGGGCTCTGCTTTGTGCTGCCTGCACCTCAGCCTGCTCGGTTGGTTCAGCATGTCCTGGTGCCTCTGGATCTAGAGCTGCTTGGGCAGCAGGGTGCAGGCAGGCTGGGAGTTCCTGGAGAAAGGAAAGAGGATATGAAAGCACCCTGTCAGCACAGGGGAAAAAATTCAAGACACTTCAAGATGTCATTTGGCTTGAACTCTTGTTACACCTCCTGCCTTTACAACTTGATTGAGGGCCAACAAATGGGTCTCTGGCTGAGGGCTGGCATGTGTGGAGGATTAAGAGGGCAGGGGGGTGATTTCCCTGCAAAAGCCACCTCAGGGGACCAAGCCATCCCTCCTGCAGCACCCTCACTCAGGCGTTGTTTTAGCCAAACTCCTGTGTCCCTTCCACCACACAACACAAGCACAAACCAAGGCTCCTGTGCTGGGACACTTGGCCAGCAGTTTGAGGGGCAGTGCTGGGGCATCAGGTACCTTACCATGGCTGCCTGGCAGCCCCTTCCAATGGGCTTCTGGTGCCCTCCAGAAATCCCAGTCTTCCCCACTGCTGCTTCCCAGACCCTTTCACCATCCAGCCCATCCATCTCCTGGAATGGCCCAGGGAGTCAGCACAGCCCAGAGTGGTCCCAGCTGGTGCCCAGTCATGGCCAGCACCCCACAGCTGGTGTCTCCCTGTGGGGAGGGACAGTGGCTTCTGCTGGAGCTGCTGCTCTGCCGGGATTCAGATCTGGCTCAGCAGAGCCTGTTTTCCCTTCAGAGAGGAGTTCAAAGTCTCCATGCTGCTTTGCGGTGGGAGATGGGAGCGAGGGCAAGGAGGAAATGGTGATTCCTGTTCCTGACTGACACAGCTGGGTTTGACCCCAGGCAGCCACAAGGGACGGAGGCATAAACACACACATATCCACAGGCACGCTCGCAGCAGCTCACTTTGCCCAGGTCCATGAAGATGCTGCTCTTCTTCTTGCTTTCACTCCTCCATTTCAACCCATCTCTGAGCCTCAAAATCTGCTCCTTCAATGTGATGTCTTTTGGAGAAGCTAAAATAGCCAAGCCTGAAGTCATCGATGCTGTGGTAAAGGTACGTTTGTTTGCCTGGATGAGACAGACACTGAGCTTTTCTAGCATTTCTTAGATGCACAATCTTGCACTTTGCTTGTCTTTCACAGTTAAATATCAAGCAAAAAAAAAAAAAGGCTAATTATTTAAAGAATGTCGTATTCTTAAAGTAAAAATCAGCTGAAGAGAATGTGTGTTGTTGAACAGAATGTATGTCGTTATTTTAGCCTTCATGGGAATATAACAGAAAAAATATTTGCTGTTTCCTTTGGAAATTGAGTTACAAAAGGAGGAAAACCTCAATGCACAGTAAAAATAATTTTCACTTAGAATCCACAAAGCTTTGTTTTGTGATACATTATTTACCTTCTTTATGTGCTAATTATTCTCAAATATTCTTGTCTAATTAAACCTATTCTCAGGGCAGCAAATAGTATCTGTCAAATTAGAGTCTGGTAGAAATTTGAAAAACCAGTTTCTGTGAGCAAACCCTCACCATCAGGCTGCCTCTATAAAAGCTGAAGATAAACCTTGGTTTTAAAAAGAACCACCTTTAAGACTTGTAGCTTTGCAAATGCCCTCCAAGATGCCCCAGTGAGGGAGGACAAGGGGCCTGGCATTGTGAGGGGTTTTGTGTGCAGAATGGCACCAAGGAGGAATGGCACCACATTGTTGGGTTGTATTCCTTTTATTGCAAACTGGCAGAGAAGAGTGGTTTGCTTGGCTTTGCATTCCCAGACTGCTCTTCCTGTGCTGTCATCACTGTGGGCAATATATACCAAATGTACATTTATAAATATAAATATATATACTAAATTTTGGGGTCACTTAGCTAGTTGTGGGTAAGTTTTAGGGGGCACAGAGAGGGGCTTTTTTTCCTGACCAAAATCCCCCACAAGGTCTGAAATACGATGAAACCAGGGGCAGAGGGAAGGCCCTGAGGATGCTGGGCTTTGGGTGAACTGGGCTTTCCCACGGGGCATCCCAACAGAGCTGTGGGAGCTGAGCTCCAGGGCAGCCCCTGGTGCTGGGAGCCCATTTCAGGCCGGGGGTTTCTCTGGGCTCCAGGGGCTGTTCCAGAGGGAGCACCGGGCACAGGTGGGTGCTCGCGGTGGGGAAGGAGCGGGGCGGGCAGAGGCAGCGCCCAGCCCGGGTGCGATGCTGGGATCAGGCTCAGGGAGAGGCTTTTGCTGCCCCTTCCCCTCCACACTTCCTCTCCAGGGTCAGGTGCCGAAGTTTCCCACTAAATCTGAAACTCTCTTGCTGCCGGGTTCCCTCTCCCAGTTCCTGCTGGGCTCTGCAGCAGCTCTGAAAGCAGAAAGGCTCCGTTCCACCCCAGGCTGCCGCTTCTTTCTCGAAGGACTTCCCCATGGAACCGCTGTAACCACTTCTTCTTCCTGACCCTTCCTGATGCTCCCAAACCACTCATGTGCAAACCTCCTCCTGCTCCTTCCCCCCGCAGGTCGTTTCCCGCTGTGACATCATGCTGCTGATGGAAATCAAGGACAGCAAGAACCGTGTTTGTCCCCTCCTGGTGGAGAAGCTCACCAGGTAGGGTGGCCGTGGGCAAATGGACAAATATTGGGAAAGCTGCTTGGCAAGGGCCTGTACTCTGCTCGGTGCCACTTTGCTGGGGCAAAATCCAAGGATGTGGGCTCTGTCCCAGTGTCAGGGAGGAACAAGACTCTGGCAGTCTCATGGAGGGACAGGAGCACAGGCAGTTCCAGACCACGGTAGAACACGTTTTTAAATCAGTATAACCAAGTTAAGTTCCATTTGCTACAGAGAAATTCCCAAAGGAGAAAGGAAATGAGGGGAAATGCCCTCACGGGGCTGGCATCAGGCTGCAGCAGGACAGCCACCTTCCTGCAGGACTCGGAACTGCTTCAGGTTAGGGATTGCTTGCCCGGACAATTCAGGCATCCAGAGGAAATAGCAGCGCTCAGCTGGATGGACATGACAGCCAGTGAAGGAGAGACAGAGGCTGCAATGAGCAGGGAGAGGGTGCAGTGAAGAGCAGGTGACAGAGCAGGACTCCAGCTCCTAAGAAGGGTTTAGTGTCTGCACCCACCTGCCTCTGAGGCCAGGCAGGCAATGCCCAAACCCCTGGGACAGAGGCAAAATTATCTCTCTCAGCCCCTCGTGAGTGCAGAAATAAACTCAGGAACATCCCTTTCCTTCCAGTCAGCGGAAGGAGCCAAAGGAGGAGTACAGGTGTGTGGCCAGCAAGAGGCTGGGAAGGAACAGCTACAAGGAGCAGTATGCCTTCATCTACAGGTGGGTGAGCCCCCTTTGCCAACAAGCCAAGCCCTGGAGATGGGCTGGAGGTGGTGGTGGCTTTGCTGAGAGGGAGCCAGAGAGGTGCAGGTGGGCTGGGCTGTGCTGGGTGTGGGGATCATCCCAGCACAGCCACCTGTGTGTCTGCATCCACCCCAGACCATGGAGTCAGTGTTAGACACACCTCAGAGAGCCACGGGTGTGACAGCCCCCATCCTGTTCATTCTGCTGCAGGCAAGACCAGGTATCAGTGAGACAAACCTACCAGTACCCTGACACCCAGCCTGGGGATGAGGATGTCTTCTCCAGAGAGCCCTTCATCATCTGGTGGCAGTCTCCCAAAACTGGTGAGGTGTTTCAGAAACAAGTCAATGTTGCACTGTGAGCCAGCACAGCAGCCCTGGCTGGACCACGCCAGAGGCTCCAGAGCTGCATCCAGACCCCACTCTTCCTCCCAAGAGCAGCATTTTCCCTTCAGGGCTGCTGCCTCTGGGAAACCCCACAGCCCTGCACATGCCCTGCTGGGAAAGCCTCTGCTGCTGCCATGGGCAGTGGGTTGGTGGATGCATTCCATGGGCAGTGGGTTGGTGGGTGCATTCCCTGCAGCTGGCACAGCCTGGGAGCAGCTCCTGTGTGCACTAGGTCAGAATTCTCCTGCACTGGCACAGCTCCTCAGGCCCAGCTCAGTGCCTGGAGGGGGTCACTGTGCAGCCACAGAGATCACCCTGGCCTACAGTCAGAAAGGGCAGTAAACAGGGAGTTTCTCCCTCAGCAAAATCAAGAAACAAGCTGTTTCTCCCTCAGAAAAATCCCCTTGCTGACAAGTCAGTCTCTGTTTCTTTGTGACTCATTCTCTGTCTAACCATTACATTTTTCTTGTTCCTCTGCCTTGTTTTGAAGCTGTCAGTGAGTTTGCCATTATCCCTCTGCACACCACACCAGACACAGCAGTGAGGGAGATTGATGAGCTCTATGATGTGTATTTAGATGTCAAACAGCGCTGGAAAACTGAGGTTGGTTGCCACATCTGTGTCACTAATTGGGCTTTGCTACTGAGTCACTGGCCATGTTATTCACTGTGCAGAGCTGAAAACCTCAGACCCATTGACAATGCACCCCAGGTTTTAAATATCTCTTTGGTGTATTTTCATTGAGCTCTCCACATTTTATACAGTAAACTTGATCATCTATTAAACTATTATCAGCATGCCCTGATGTGCCCAGCAGAAAGGAGAAACCCCACTGCATCCATGGACCATAAAAATCCTCATGGGTCTTCTTTTGAAAAGCTGTCCTCATGATTACATTTGGAAACCCTCCTGCCTTCCAGAACTTCATTTTCATGGGGGACTTCAATGCTGGGTGCAGCTATGTTCCCCAGAAGCAGTGGCAGAACATCCGTCTGAGGACCTACTCTGAGTTCCTGTGGCTAATTGGTGACAAAAATGACACAACCGTGAGGAACAGCACCAGATGCCCGTACGACAGGTAAAGGGCTCACTGCCAAACCACCCACGGGCTATGGCTCTGAGAGAAAATTGTATCAAGAGGTGTCAGTGACCAGCAGAGGAAACAAATGTTCATGAGGCCATGAGAGATAAAGGAGTGTCCAGGGGAAATGTGATCCAAATGCTTCCAGTGAGGAGCACAAGGCCCTGTGCAGACCAGACTGGGCAGGATTTACACAGAACAGCCACTGCTGTGGCTCAGGGGGGGACAGAAGCAGCACTTCCCATCTGCAGGGAGCCCTGCAGACCCCTGGCAGGAGGTGCTGCTGCCTTCTCCATGCCAGCTTTGCACCATGGCTTTTGCTCCTGTGTTTGTAATTTGGATTGACAAACACGCAGAGGGGACACCTCGCCTTGCCCTGGACATGTGGCAGTCCTGCTGCCACTGCAGTTCCCTCAGCAGGGACAACAACACATCTGCTATTAGAGCCCAGAGCCCTCTTGAAGGATGAATTCCTGGGTCTGAGCAAGCCTTCACTGATACCTCAGTCATTGTCCTGTGATTTTTGTAACCAAAGAAGGGCTGTGAAATTTGCAGCATTGGGTGGGTTTAGACAGAAGTCATTTAATGCTGGCTTCCAAGGCCAGTGCACACCAAGATATTCATGTGCACACCAAGATATTCATGTGCACACCAAGATATTCATGTGCCCCGCTGCCTGTGTGGCACCTACAGGAGCTGCCATCTCTGGGTGGGCAGTCCATGGGCAAGGACAAACCACACACAGCTGTGACTCTCTCAGAGCCCCTCTCTGGGCACCAGCTCAGTGCGGTGTGGCTGCCATGGGTCAGGCACCCCATCACAGCACCCATTCCTTGTCCCTCGCAGGATTGTGGTCACTGGACAGAAGCTCATCCAGGCTGTGGTGCCACACTCTGCCAGCATCTTTGATTTCCAGGAGGAGTTTCAGATGACTGAGGAGCAGGTAGGCAGAGCACAGCCCTAACACAGGGCCAGCTGTGCCCAGGCAGTGCTGAACACAGACCTGGCTGTGACACCAGGGCTCTGTGACCACCCCTCCCAGCTGGTGCAATGCCCACGGTGCCACCTCCCCACACCCAGCCAGGGCTGGCACAGAGCTCCCGACCCCCTGTGCTGTTGTCTTGCAGGCACTGGGAGTGAGTGACCATTTCCCAGTGGAATTTGAGTTAAAGGCAAAAGGAGGCTTCCTCAACTGGCTGAGATCCAAGTTCTCAAGGAAGAGGAGACCAAAGAAGAGCCGCTCATCGAGATCATGAGCATGCTGAGCCCTCCTGCCTGGCACAGAGATACACAGATGCCAACAGATCCTGTAGAAGTCTGTATAGAAATGCTCACAGCAAGTGCAATATTTAGCAGGTAAAAATAGCCAAATATTTTGTAAAGTTCAAATATTTTGAGTGAGAAGGCAAATTAAGCCTTCATGCTGTTTTTTCTTCATTGTATATAGAAATAAATCAGCTAGGAGCAGCACACTGTACTTACTGTACTGGTCACAAATGTAAGGAGCTACTCCAGGGCTGAAATATTTCTGTGTGCTTTACCTGCCACACCTGAAGGGCAGGGAGCTCCACAAGTTCCCGTGGGCTCTGGAGCTCTGCCATTCCTCTGCAGGGGCAGAAGGATTAAAAAGGACCTTTTTGCATCATGTGTGTGTCTCTGTGTGTGTGTTTATGCTTCAGAGCTGCAGCCAGTGGACATGAGGTTGTACCTGGTGGTTTGCAATGTAGAATATTGCTGAATTCAGAGTATTTCTCAGTGAGGGGCTTAAATTGGTCGCAGCATCCAGGGATTTGGGAAAGACAGAAGAGACAGAGGGACAGGCAGAGAGAGCCCCTTTTCTGCACTGCCCCAGCTCAGGGCAGCAGGAAGCTGATGGTTCTCACCCCTGCCCACCTGCAGGGCAGGTGAGATGCCCCAGGGATCCCAGGTGACACTGCTGCCAACAGAGTGTCATAAAATTCACATCAAAATCTGATTTCAGCATCCTGACATGTAAGTGAACTGCATCCCTCCTCAAACAAAAAATCTCCATGGCAGCCCAAAGTCCTCTGATGAACCAGACTTCAATGATAATTATTTAATGTAATGGTGCAGCAATCTGTGTTCCCAGCTCAGCCCACAGGCAGTGTTTAGTGCAAACCAAACCCTGCCACACAGATGGCATCTGGGGAGTGGGAATAATCCAACTGTTAGTAGAGACAAATATTCATTTCCTTTCATCTGTGCACCCCAGGTTGCCTGCTGAAGGGGCAGGGAGGGCAGGTGAATGCGAGGCTTTGTGGGAGGAAAACAGTTTGGCCTTTGTGAAACCGACTGCTCAGGGAGAAGAATTTGAGGAAAGAAACTAAATTAAGAGAAAATTATCCCAGGAGGTTGTGTGCAAAGCAGACAACAAATCCTCCAACTTTTAGTAGCAATTAAACTTGAAATGATACAGCATTTCATATGCTCCCTCACACTGCAGTCAACACAAAGGAAAAAGCCTGATTTAGGGCAAATATTTACATTGGGATTTTTATAGAGATGCCACTGTCTGGCTGACATCAGTGATGGTTCATGTGAAGGCTGAAATGAGTCTGAGTCTCTGGCCTCACATCTTGCTTCTATGTAAGCACTTTCTGTCTCCTGGCTTTCAGAAAGGAGTAGTGCACAGAGAAAGAAATCACCCTCCAGAACAGCAATAATGGACACATTCAGTCATGAAAAATACATAATTACAACTAAGTTTTACAGGAAATACTTGTCCTTACTTGCAATATTTGGCATAGCCCTTTATCCACCACTTGAGGATAGGAGATGTGGCCAGGGAGAGCCTTGGCAATGCAGGCAGCGGCTGCTGGTCCAGAGCAGTGAGCTGGCTGTGGCTGGGATTGAGGGAATTCTCTTCACTGGAGTTCCATGGAGCTGTGTCTTGGGTTTGTGCTGAAAACTGTGCTGATAACACAAAGATGGTGTTGTTGCTGCTGTGCAGCACTTGCACAGAGTCAAGGCACTTTCCGTCTCACCCCAGCAGTGAGTTGGATGGGGATGCACGAGAAATTGGGAGGAGATGGAGCCAAGCAGCTCTGACTCAGGGGATACCCCACACCAAATGGAGTCCTGCTCAGCACTCAAACCTTGGGGAGAAGAAAGGTTCATCTTGCAGAGATGCTGAGCTTCTGACCAGCAGAGAGACATCCTAATGCATAAATGATGCTCCTCCATGGAGATCTGGGACACAGTTTTGTGGGATTCACAGCAGAGGGCATCTGCACTCACATTATACATTTGGTAGAGGCTGGGAGGTGTCCCAAACTCCCACTGTCAGCACAGTCTGTCTCTCTAGATATTCATTAGACAATATTATAATTACATCCTAAAATATTTAACAGTTCATGTTGTCTCTAGATTTCCTCCCCTGGGGATCATTGCCCAGCTGCCCCAACTGCAAAGGGGTTTAAGTTGTTCCAGCCTGCAGGAGCCTCAATATATTCTGCAGCCAGAACAAAGTTTCTCTTTTTGATGAATAAGGCTTCTTGAGCTTTATTTATGATCAAACAGAAGGTTTTCACTGGGAATCCAAAATTCCTGGAGAGACTTTGTCTCATGCAAGCCAGACCTCAGATCGTGGCTGGGAGAGAAACAAAGAGGCTCTTCAGAAGTGGAAAAGTGTTTCCTCCCCAGCAGCCCTGTTCACAGAGAGCACAGAGCAGAGCGGGCTCAGCTGAACTAAAAGGGCTAAAACCCCCAATCCCTCAGGCTGGGGTCCTTGGGAAGCCCTTCTCCAGCGCCTGGTACTGGAGGCATCCCCACTTCCCACAGACCCAAGGTCTCCACTGCCCTGCAGAGACCCCTCCCCAGCCTACAGGAGGTGTCTCTGCTCCTCACCCCACAGAACCCACACGAGGGAGGTTTTTACTGCCCTGGGGATGTAAACCTCTTGGCAGGGAAACCCGCAGGAGCCCACAGCAGCAGCCCAAAGCAGGAGTGCCTCTTCTCTACAGCCTCAATCATCTCTGCTGGACGGGTTTGTCCATCTGCACCTTCGCCTGCAGAGGGCTCCTGTTCTCCTCCTGCCTTGGCGCTGCTCCCCACAGCCCTGACACTCTCTGCCTGCCCACAGGGTGAGAGTCCCTTTGGCCCAGAGCTCTGCCTAGCTCCTTTTGCCTCTTCTGAGCCACTGGCAGCAATGAGGACACAGGACAGCTGGTACAGAGCCACACAGGAACCCATCTGGCCTCTTCTTTCAGGGTCTGTACCTAATATCCAACCTAAACCTCCCCTGGTGCATCCTGAGGCTGTTTCCTCATCCATCCCCCACCTGGCTACACTCTCCTGTCAGGTGTTGTAGAGTGATAAGGTCCCTCCTGAGCCTCCTTGGCTCTAGGCTAAACAACCCCACCTGCCCCAGCTACTCCTCATAAAACTGTGCCCCAGACCAGATCTACACATGTACAGATGTTTGGCAGTACAGATGTGCAGCAAACAGCTGAGCTGCAGTCCCCAGAAGGGCTGTGTTGTGCTGGTGGCACTGACAGCAAAATCAAAGGCAGGAAAATGACAGAGGCTCCCAGTGTGGTGGCAGCAGCTGGTTCCAGCTCGGTGTTCCAGGCTCCCTCAGCCTCTGCAGGGATTGTGAGGAGCACTCGTGCCCCAGGCTGGAGCTGGCCCCTCCCTGACCGAGCATTGCCACGGAACAGGAGCACGAGTGGAGCAGGAGCTTCCTGGGGCTCGAGTGCTCCTGTGGCTCTCTGGGGCAGCCTCTCTCAGCCCCCTGCAGCCCAGGCTCAGTGGTCCTGCCAGGGCTTTTCTCTGCCAAGCAAGCCTGGGAGATGGGGACAAGGACGTGAGGGCAGCACTCACTTTTCTCCTGCCTCTAGTCAAAGAAAAACAGTTTCAAAAAGCACTTTCCCCCCTCCAGCTATGGATGGCAAAAGCCCCTGCCAGCTCCCCCAGCTCCGTGCCGAGTAACGCGGTTCCCGTCCCGCAGGGCCCCCGGCGGAGCCGGGCACACACGAACACTACCGGGGCCCCTCTGGTGGCATTGCTGCACGGCCCAGCCCGCGGGGATCCCGGAATTCACACCCAGACCTTCAGCACGGCCAGCAAACCCAGCCGCGGCAAGGAAAGGGAATTTCACCTCCCCAAGGATCTGCATCACCCCGGGCTCTGCACACAGACATCTCCATTCGCTGCAGGCAGCCCAGGGCTGAGCCCAAGGAGTCCATGGGCTCACCGTGTTTCTACAGGAATTCTGCATTAAAAAGGGAACATTTTGTTGGCTTGAGGTCTGATTATTCATTGCCCACAGTTATTTAACCAGGAAGGATGCTGTGATGAGCCCCACGAGGTGGCAGCAGCTCCCAGGACCTGGGCACATCCACCCCTGGGGCCCCGGGGTGTCCCTGCCATGCCCGCACCAGGAGCACAAGGACAGCCAGCTTGGGCCACAGTGACCACGGCCTTTCCTGCCTGTCCAACCCCAGGGATGTCTTCTAGTGACTGTGCTCCTGCTCTTTGGTGGTTTGTGCCTGGTTTTGGGAAAGATGTGAGCCTGTTCTGGCCCCAGTGCCACCAACCCCTTTTCCAGTGCCAGGGGAAACTGGAATCAATTTGGATCAGAGGCTGTTTCTGCAACCACAGAATCACAGAGTATCCTGAGTTGAAAGCTGATACTCCTGACCCACAAAAATCATTGAATGCAACTCCTGACCCTGCACACAACAACCCCAAAATTCACGTCACGTGCCTGAGAACACTGTCCAAAGGTTTGTGAACTCTGACAGGCTTGGGGCCGTGATCACTTGCCTGGGGAGCCTTTTCCTGTGCTCATCCACCCTCTGCGTGAAAAAACTTTCCCTAATATCCAACCTTGACCTCCCTGAGCTGGATTTAGCTCACATTCCTCTCCATCATCCCGACAGGTCAGGGACACAACCTCTGCACTCTCACCTGGTAGAAAAACACAAGTGCCCTTTCTCTGCAGGCTGTTTTCCAGCCTGTGTGAAAAACAAGGTTAAATACTTTGTGTGTAATTTTAAATATAGAGTCTCAGCTGTCACTGTTTGCAGGGGCAATTTTCTGGTAGAGAGAAGACAGATTTATAAGAATTAATTTCCATATTGGCAAAGTAACAAAAAACCTTCCCTGAAAAGCTCTGCAAATGCTGGCATTGAGATATGAAGGCTTTCTGTGCCTCTCTGTTGGAAGGAGAACCTGACCCCAGCCATTCTTGGGGAAGCCAGATGCAAAATCCCACCCCCCAAACAAAACACTC